AATTTTTTTTTTAAAAAATCGGGGTCCGGCCGCCTAGACCACTTAGGTGGCCACCTAGGGAGACTGGTCGCGGAGGAGGCTGATTTCGGCGTTTTTTGACGTGGTCGGGCGCCGCCTAGTGTCTAGGCTAGATTTTTGCAACACTGGTAATAGCTTAGTTGGTTTCTGTGTGGTAAATTATGGACAAGGACACAATATAACGCATTGGTAGCTGTAATATGAGAATTTTATTCAATGTAATGGACTCTTTGTGAACACAAAGCATTGGTCGATCTTTCTACCTATGAGCCACTGGATGACCGTAATTTATCGCTCCACTCTCTTGTTAAATTTAAATGTGGGGGCCATGGAAATTTTGTTTTGCCTTTTTTTGGCCAAAATAACTATAATAGCTATGGTGCAACACGTAGCATGAGATATTTTAAGTATACAGCACCCCTCCACTCCCATTTGTGGCAATCAGAGAGTAATTAGATGAACCAAACATATTGGTTGTAAAATAAAGTAATCTAATAATAAATTAAGAAAGATACCAACTTTGTCACTTGCAAGACAATAATACAATTCAAAACGTTAAAGCATCTTTGGTATGCCTAATAGCTCGTCACAGTCACAATTTCACAATATATAATACCAACAAAACTTCTGCTAACACTGTACTGTTTGAATTCACATACGATACACCGACAATATGTTAACATATACGGAGTAGTATAATGCTACATTTCATATTTAATTTTGTCTCTTAATTTCACCTCCTTACATTGTAATATTCAATTAATAAGTAGATTTATTATTTTTCATGTGGTTCTCCGTTAGTGTACGACACCGTTAAGTCGGAGTAAATATTTAATTTAGTTGTTTTTTCCCTCCCTCGATTCAAAGTACTAGCGATGGACAGCGGTGGGGAACCACATGTCCGTTACGGGAGGGACTATATGTGGACCATTTTAATAATTGAGGGACAATATTTACATCACTCATAATTCAAGAATGACATTGATAATTGACCTATTATAGAGATGCATTTTTTACAATTTTCCCTATAATAAATATTGTGATTAATGCAGTCAACCCATTCCAACAATATATGTTTCCTACTTGATTCAACTTGTTTTTTTTTTTTTTTTTTTTTTTTTTTTTTTTTTTTTTTTATAATATATATAATGGGTATCGTTTTCAATGTAACAGCTTGATTAAAAAAAGTGTATAGCTCGTGGCTGACACGCATTGCTTCATGATAATGACTATTCCCAATTCTAATTTTTAAATTTTAATATTAAAAATAAAATATCCCACATGCATATGTTGGACATTTGGACAGCTTACATGGTCTTACCTTAATACAAGCAATACAAATTAAACATTATTTTATAAATTCAATGAATGGGAAATTCAATGCTGCTTTCACCGCCAACCTCCCCTGTCGTTGCCACTTTGCCCAATGTCTAGTGCAACCATAAACAAAATTGTTTCTTTCGCATAAAAGGATTGGTTGATGGAATATTTTCAAGTAATGTAATATTTTTTTTTTTCACAAAATACAAGAATGTTGGGGATAAATTTATTAAAAATGAATTAAAGTTAATGCTTGGGAGTTTAACATTTTTTTTTATATATATATAGTAATCTCATATCCTCTTAAATCAAACAATATAAGAATGTTGGGGATTACATTTTTTTAACTTAATGACCGATTTGGTACCTTAATTATAGTGAAATTATTGATGTAATCCTCAATTATTATTCTTATCAAATTAAGTCTTAAGTTTAAATTTTTTACCTAATTTCATCTTTCGTTATTATCATACGGCTCATATTGACTATCATCGTCTTACGGTTCAAATTGACGAGAAGACAAAATTGTGTATCATTTTAAAAAATGAGGACTTAATTTGGTAAGGATGATAGTCAATGACCAAATCGATAATTTTGCTATAGTCAATAGACAAAATTGGTCATTAACTCTGAAATTTCTAATAATCTTATTCCTGCAAACCAACACTGAAATTTAAATTCTACTTTATTCCTCTCCCATGAAATTACAATTCATTACCCTCCTAATTCTATCTCTCCACCAAAAGTCTCGTTAGTTTTAATTCAAAGTACCTAGAAGTCTTTGTACTATAGTGTTTTGTTCAATTTAGTCATTGTACCTTTATTCTGTTCAATTCAGTCCCTCTACTTTAAAAAGTGGTGAAACTAAGGACAATTGTCCAAATCTCATTAGGAACATGGTTGTAATTATTTATTTTGGACATATTAATTTAATATATTAGTAGTAAAAATAATTAATTTTAAATATTTATAAAATAATATATGAGTAGGGATGTAAATATCATCATCGCCACGTAATCTAAGTTAACGGTAATATTAACACCATTAGTTATTGTCCTTAATTGCATCACTTTTGAAAGTAAATGAACTAAATTGAACAAAATAAAGATATAAGAACTAAATTGAATACAATGATATAGTACAGGGACCTTATATGTACTTCAAAATCATGTGGTTACTATCTGATTGTGGCTACCCCAATCGTTATGATGTGCATCCGTATGCACCGTGCATGGTGCATACGGATGCAAAAACGATGTCGTTTTGACGTCTAACTTTAAAAAAAAAAAAAAATCAGAATTACATAACTACACATCCATAATTTAATAACTATAAATCCATAATTTCATAATACACATCCATAATTTCATAACTATAAATCCAGAATTGCATAATTAAACATCCATAACTTCGTAACTATACATTCAGAATTTCTACATTCAGAATTTCATAACTATACATCCATAACTTCATAACTATACATCCAGAATTGCATAATTATACATCCATAACTTCATAACTATACATCCAGAATTGCATAACTATACATCCATAACTTCATAACTACAATATTCAAAATTACATAACTACATCATACATAATTACACATCCATAATTTCATAACTTAAAAATTCAAAATGAATGAACTAAAAAATAAACAACATAAAATTATTGTTGGGAATCAAAACTGATTTTTTTTTTTAAATAGAACACACATTTTTATGCAAAACGACGTCATTTTTGCATCCGTATGCACCATGGATACGGATGCGCAACATAATTTGCCGTGGCTACCCTGTGTATAGTTATTATCACTTTTTTCTTTTCGGTTTGGGGGTTGGGGGCGAGTCCATCTATTATATATCCCCACCAAAATTAGCCCATTTTTAGAATTGGGTGGGCAAATTTGGGCTCACTTAATATGGCCCAATACTACTATTACTAAATGATTTTATTCTCCCATTGTAAAAGAAAAATAGAGTTAATTCCTTTTAATATTAATATAGATCTTGTAAGATTTCTTTTTACCTGATTTTTACTATACAATTATGAAATGCCCTTGTATTTAACGAAATTTTAATAATTTTTTGATAGAGCACTAAAATTGATCATGTTACAATAATACTAGAACAAAAAAAAAAAATTCTGATAAAAAAGGACTAATATCAATTTTAGATTTTTACCATTTCAGATTCATTAAAACACACACACACACACAAAATCTAAATTGAATACCCTCTTACAAATATTCATTAATTTTGATTGTCTCAAGTTTCTTGTTATATTTGAAATTAAGAATTGGGGAGGATTTTGTAAACCTCATATTACGTGAATCAAAGAATTGGGGAGGATTTTGTAATATTCAAAACTAGAGAGGGTCTAAACTTTAAGCTCGGCTGAGCTAAAACCTTAGTAGTTCTCTTACACTTTGATTTCTTTTGGTTTACGGGGAAGTCTATAGCCACTATCGAAACATTTTGAGTGAAACTCGTTTTGTAATATAGTCAGTAAAAGATCATATGGAGTTAAACCAACTTAGATTGTATATAACGTCATAACGAACAGGTCCAAACTAAAAAGTCAATAGGTAATTTTCACAGATAGTCGAATTTGAAATCTTGCAGTTACAAGTAGGGGTGGAAATAGGCCGAGCCGAGCCGAGCTTTGGAAAATTAGGCCTGGGCCTGTTACGAAAATCTAAAGCCTGGGCCTGGGCCTGAGCCTGTATGTAGGCTTTTTGTTAGGCTCAAGCCTGAGCCTGCAATAAACCTGGCCTGGCCTGAAGCCTTTTTAAAAGCCTGTTTAATATTTAGGTCATTATAAATGCTTCAAAGTATGTCCTACCTTAGCCTATTAAAGCCTACATGTTAAGACTTTTTAAAAACTTTAGTATATCTAAATAATATATGAAATGTATCTAATACAAAACTAATACATAATTACATAAGTATACAAAACTTTAGTATATCTAAAAAATATATATACTTGGGGTTATATTGTAAATATACAAATATTAGGTATAAAATAGAATATATATATATATATATATATATATATATATATATATATATATGCAGGCCAGGCCTGTAGGCCTGAAGGCCGAGCTTGGTATATATAGGCCTGGCCTGTTTAGTTTAATAGGCTTTGAAATTGGTTCAAGCCTGGCCTTTTTACTAAACGAGTTAGGCCTAACTAGGCTTTAATTAGGCGAAGACATAGGCCCCTACAAGGGGCCTGGCCTATTCCCACCCCTAGTTACAAGTAGTCTATGCAGTGGCCGGCAAAAGACCATATGAAGTTAAACCAACCTAGATTGTATATAATGGACGGGTTCAAACTAAAAAAAATCAATAGATAATTCTCACGGATAGTCGGAATCTTGTGGCAAGTAAGTCTTTTTTAGGCAATATCCTCTCCTCTCAAATCTCCCATCCTCTCTATTCTTTTGGTATGTACAGTCTTGTCCTGTTGTTTATTCCCCAAGGACACTACACTACTGCTGTTTCATATCTGTGGCACAACACAGCTTTTTGTCCTGCAATGCATGCTTGCCAACAAAGGACTCATTGTACTTTACTGCTACTTTTTCATGGTTTCTGCCTTAGCTTTCTGCACTGATTTCAACCCTAGCTAGATTCTTCAATGCCACTTCTCTCTTTTAAACCCATCCTTTTCACTACCCACCAACCAAAAGAAACAATGGACCTTTCAACCTCCAAGTTTCTTGAAGCTCAAATGGTAATTCCTAGTTTAACAACAATGTTTCATTTCCAGAATTTCATGGGCTTCAGTTTTCTTGATTTCTTGTTTTTATGTGCATTTTTTTGAGGTAGGAAGAAAGGGTAGGAGGCAAACATGGGAATCCATTCTTGGATACATTTCCAGCAGCTCATCAGAGGAGGAGTTCAGTGACAAAGAGAAGTATGGAGGGTCCTTCAACCCCAGGAAGGCCCATTTTCAGCTTCAGTGTTGGGAATTTCTCAAGAAAATCTGTGCCTTCAAAGTGGGATGATGCAGAGAAGTGGGTTGTTAATGGCAGTTCTTGCCATGATTCCCCTGCTCATAATCCTGGCTTAAAACCACCAAAGAGTTTGAAATCTTCAAACTACTGTAATGAAGCAGCCCTTGCAGAGATGTCTGGAGTTGAAGATGCAAAGCTCTCCATGGCTTCTAAAGGTACAAATTAATTACCGTAATCGTTTATCGGGTGACGTAGAGATTCGAATCTATGACCTTTGGTCTGATACCAAATTGAAACATGTGCTCAATCTCAACTAAAAGGCTAAGTTGATAGTTGGATTGCACATTAATGGTTATATGCTCAACAAAATTAAAGTCTATTATCATGTTATACTAAAAAGATGAAATTTTTATGTAAATGAATAACCTTGAAAGGTTGTGGGAAGATCTTGATTGATCTTAGGCATGAACTTGTGGCCTTGAAATGCAGATAAGTTCACAAAAGAAGGATCTTTCTTTGGAAATGTGAGTGAAAAGGCCATGAACTGTGAAACACCAGAGGTTAAGCAAAGAGATATTGGAACAGAAATGACACCTGTTGGCAGTTCCCCAGCTTCAAGATGCCACACTCCAATCAAGCTCCCATCGCCTCGCGGGCACAACACGCCCGCTGATAGGTCCGGACCACTGCCTCCATCAACTCCGAGTTCTGCAAGCACAGTAGACATTATGCAGCTGCAAGAATGCCACTTGGCAAAGCTGAAGCTCGGGACAATGCCATCGAATTGGAGCACGAGGGAGGAGGAAGAAGAGGACGTGTCAAAGAGCTTGAGACACTTTGAGGCGAGTAACGAATGCCCGAGAAGTGTGTCCAAGCCTCCTAGAGCATACTCATCATGGGAGGAAGAGGTTGCCAAGTGCTGCCTAAGGTAAACTGATCAGCTTAAACTTTTAGTTGAGACGGAACACATCCTTCAATTCTCTGACCGTTAATTATTGGCTCGTGATTTGTGTCAGGTACCAGAGAGAAGAGGCTCAAATTCAAGCTTGGGTGAACCTCCAAAGTGCAAAAGCAGAAGCTCAGTCAAAAAAGCTTGAGGTTTGATGTTCTTGATTGATCATTGCTTAGTACTATATATGCTGGGATCAGTTAGTAACTATAAAGTTACAAGTTTGACTCCCAACAGGAGCGGTTTATTGATTTACTGTCTTTTGTCCGTTAGAATAAATTTAGTCAGTACAGACCACCGAATAGTGACTGTGAATTTGTTTCAGGTGAAAATCCAAAGGATGAGGTCGAAGAAGGAAGAGAAGCTGATGAAGAAAATGGCAATAGCTCACAGAAAAGCAGAAGAATTGAGGGCTGCTGCCCAGCTTCAACATTGTGAGCAGATGCAGAAAGTGAGTGGACGAGCAAAGAAGACGACAGTAAACCGACACAACAACATAAATGTGTCTCCTCGTCCACCTTCTTGTACTTGTTTTCCTTGTAATACTCATCACGTGTAGTACCTGCATGCATATGTTACTGTCATTACTTCAATGTTCGATCAAATGCAACTTATTTGATACTTAACCAATCTTAAATGCAAATATTTCCAGAGCTATAGTAACCCCCCCCCCCCCCCCCCCCCCCCCCCCCAAAAAAAAAAAAAAAAGATAATATGTCACAACAATATCTTAGACCCTTTAAAATCGACCAATTCACATGTGGCTAATGAATATATAGATCACAATACATATAATGTTAGATATATTAAATATAGAGTTAATACCCAAAATAGTCCCTCGACTATGTCGTAATTACCAATTTGGTCCTCAACTATCATTCTTACCCAATTAAGTCCTCAACTATACAATTTTTACCCAATTTAGTCCTTTGTCAATTTGACTGTTTGTTGACTGTCAAAAGTGAAAATAAAGTTGTAATTTTACAAGTTTTCTCATTCCTCCTCATTTAGCAGCGCCAAACCATGTAGCAATAAGCTCCGGTTGGGTTCTAAACCTGTCAGTACCGAAGTAGTGGTTGTGCATCGGATAGCCCATGAATTTGATTTCCAACAATTTTTTGACGATCGAAATTTGATCGGAGTGTATTGCTGCATGGTTTGGCGCTGCTAAATGGAGAAGGAGAAATCCTGTAAAATTATAATTTTATCCCGACTTTTGACAGTCAACAAACAGTCAAATTAATACAGAGGACTAAATTGGGTAAGAATTGTATAGTTGAGGACTAAATTGGGTAAGAATTGTATAGTTGAGGACTTAATTGAGTAAAAGTTACATAGTTGAGGACTTAATTGGGTAAGAATGGTAGTTGAGGACCAAATTGGTAATTATGACATAGTCGAGGGACCATTTTGGGTATTAACTCTTAAATATAATATATTTAATATAATATAATATATTTTATAATATATATTAAATATAATATGTATATATATTATATTTATATATATTGAGGAGAGAGAGAGAGAGAGAGAAATAGATAACTTGATTGATAATAAAAGCTTGAATACAAAGACTATTTATACTAGATAAGATAACTCAAATGCTAAAATTAATGAATTAATGCTCCATGTAAAGCTAACATCATGGCCATGTACTGCACCTATAATTACTCCCATTATTTTTAACTAACTAACTCATCTTACTTGGTTTAATATAATAATAATAATATTATTATAACATTGCCTCCTTTAAACCAAGTTGGATATATTGGTCATCCCAATATCTCCTTCTTCAATTTAAGAAATGTCTCCGTCTTCAAGTTGGATATACGGACTTGTATTTCGTTCTGTAAACCCACTTTACTCCAATTGGCTTCTTCCCAAGAGGTACATCTGTTAACTCCCAGGTACCATTCTTCTCAATGGCACGTATCTCCTCATCCATCGCCTTAAGCCAATATACGAGTTTCTGTAGCAGCCTCCTCAAAAGATAAAGGATCACAATCTACAAAAAGAGCAAATTGAATAATCTCTTCATCCGACAAGTCATTATCATGACCCAAAACATAATCTTGCAAGCGAGCTGGTAAGTGGCGCTCGCGCTGAGATCGTCGAACTGACGACTCTGGCTGTGAAGGAGACTGGACATTATCTGGAATCGGTTGCTCTTCAACAATATTTTCAACAGCAGGAATAACAACTGAACTTTCATCTTTAGCTAACCAATCCCAAGCACCATATTCATCAAAAGTGACATCACGACTTATAACAACCTTTTTAGTTTCAGGATTGTATAGTTTATAAGCCTTTGAAGTGTCACTATAACCAATGAATATGCATTTCTCACCTTTATCATCCAACTTCTTTCTCAATGGATCTGGCACATGTGCATATGCCAAACATCCAAAAACCTTGAGATATTTGATAGAGGGTTTTCTCCCACTCCAAGCTTCTTCGGGTGTCTTATTCGGACACTCTTAGTTGGACACCTATTCAACACATAGACAGCACAAGCAACAGCTTCTGCCCAAAAAGGTTTAGGAAGATCCTTGGATTTCAACATGCACCTTACCATATCCATGATAGACCTATTCTTCCTCTCAGCCACTCCATTTTGTTGTGGAGTGTATCTAGCTGTCATCTGATGTTGAATACCCTTCTTCTTCAGAAAATCATCACAGGTAATATATTCTGTACCTCTATCAGTTCTCAAGATTTTAATTTCATAACCACTCTGCTTTTCAACAAAAGCCTTAAATTGTTTGAAAACATCACATGCTTCAGACTTTTGCTTTAGAAAGTAAACCCATGTTTTTCTACTGAAATCATCAATGAAAGTAATAAAGTACTTACAACCTCCATGTGAGGGAACCTCCAACGAACATAGGTCTGAGTGAATAATCTCCAACTGTTTTGTAGCTCTCCTTGACTTGCCCACGGGAAAGGGATCTCTATGCTCCTTCCCAATCACACAAATCTCACAGATACGATCACGGACATTCACAACAGATAAATCAGAAACAAGTTCCTTTCTCGCAAGATAGTTTAATCCAGAGAAATGGAAATGCCCAAATCGCATATGCCATAACCAATTATCATCACAAACTTCAGAATTAAAGCAATCAAGGAGAATATGCTTAATTTTCAAAGGAAATAGTCGATTTTGGGACATATTTACCTTTGCAATCAAAACTCCTTTAACATCTTCAATGGTACAACACCCCTGAGCAATATCTATCTTATATCCTTTTTCTGACAACTGACCCATACTCAACAAATTTTGGTGTAGTTCAGGAACATAGAACACATCGGATATAAAATTGTGAGTACCATCCTTCAACTGAATAGAGATTTTACCTTTTCCCAAAATTGGCACCTTTGACTTATTGCCAAATGTCACTTCAGACCGGACTGATTCATCCAGTTTAGAAAACAATTCTTTCTTCCCACACATATGGTTACTACACCCAGTATCCAAGAACCATATGTTCTTATCTGCAGAAAAACTATCGCTGGCTAAAAGTAAAGTTTCAGAAGTCTCACCAGACTTTTCAGCAGTATTTTCAACAATGTTTGCTTGATTTCCACGGTTGTTGTCCTCATTATACCAACAATCCGCAATCTTGTGCCCATACTTGCCACAATTGTAGCAATGAAATGAAAATTTACCTTGTTTGGTATTACCTCCACCTCTTCCTTGGTTGGAGTTACCACGTCCTCCTCCTTGGTTGAAGTTACCACGACCTCTTCCACTAGAACCTCCTCTTCCTCTTCCACGACCTCTACCAGATCCTCCACCTCTTTGATTAGTGCCAGTCACATTAAGGGTGACTTGACTCTTCAAAGCTTCTTCTGCTAGTGGTTCCGATTTTGACGCAATCCTGTCAATATGACTTTCTACCATACCTTTCAGCTCTGCAATTGATAAGAGCTCGGTTTTGTGTGACTCTGTTATTGAAGCCACCATATGGTCATACTTCATCGGCATAGTTCGAAGAACTTTTTCAACCACTGCACCATCTTCAATTGTATCTCCGTATAACCTCATCTTATTCACCATATCAATAAGACGAGTGAAATACATATCTACTGTTTCTGTAGAGGTCATCTCACAATTATCGTACAACCTTCTCAACGACTGCAACTTAGACTTCTGTGCCCGATCGACTCCTTTGTGTGACACCTTTAAGATGTCCCAAGCTTGTTTTGCTGTTTGAGCACGATCTAATTGCCCAAAAATGGAATAATGAACACCTTGGTGAATCTGACCCAAGGCCAATTTATCTCGCCGTATAGCGGCTGCATCAGCTCCTTCGGGTAGACCGGGATCAACAAAGCTCCAAAGATTTTGAGCTTGCAAATGTGTAGACATCATAATTTGCCAATAATTGTAATCGAGTTTCCCGTCCAATTTGGGACCCGTCCATACAATATTGAAATTTGCAGCCATATTTCATTACGGGAAATATCTCGGGGTTGAAAGGTTGACTGGCTCTGATACCAAATGTTAAATATATTAAATATAATATATATTAAATATAATATAATATATCTATAATATATATTAAATATAATATGTATATATATTATATTTATATATATTGAGGAGAGAGAGAGAGAGGAATAGATAACTTGATTGATAATAAAAGCTTGAATACAAAGACTATTTATACTAGATAAGATAAATCAAATGCTAAAATTAAGAAATTAATGCTCAATGTAAAGCTAACATCATGGCCATGTACTGCACCTATAATTACTCCCATTATTTTTAACCAACTAACTCATCTTACTTGGTTTAATATAATAATAATAATATTATTATAACAATAATGTATGTATAACAAGACACAAAATGCAAGAAAACATATAAACGTTGTTTAGTAACATAATTAAACAACTAATATGAGTGTTTGATTAATTAGTTTTTTTGTAATAGTTTATTGCTCCAAAACGCTAAAATTCAAAAAACTGCTAAAAAAAGAAACTTTTTGGATCAGCTTTTTTGATAAAGTCATTTTGCATGTAATCAGCTAATAGCTAAATTACTAAACATCTTTCTACAATTAGCTAATGATATCAACTAGTCAAACTCACTAACTCAATCAACTAACAGTTATTTACCAAACACTCCCTATCAGTGAATAGTAGCGTGAGGCAACCCCAACTGGATTGATCGGATCGTTTCTCAGTCGGTCAGCTATGGGCAATAAAGAAGGGTTTATCTCTCCTAGTGATCTTCAGTTTAAACCGGTCAATTATAAACAACGTAATCCAGATTACGGGCTTTGTCGTAAATCAAAGCGAATAATATATATAATAGTGTGAAGGTAGGTTTTGAGAATGCAGGTGAGCAAGAAAAGTACAAACTATCTGAGAATCCGAATAGTGCTTTTTCCTCTCCAGATGGAGTTTTCTTCCTCTTGTTCTAGTTAACAAGCCTTTTTCCTCTTGTGCTCTACAAGTCGGTCCGGATTTATTCCGGTTGTTATTGCCTTTTTGTTTCATTTATGAGAATCCCACCAACCTTTTAATGGCATTGAATGATGGTGGTTGGTCTTTCCTTCATTCACCCCGGAGACTAGAGTTCTGATGTACTT